CTGAGTCATGTGATCTGGAGTTCTTTCAGATTTGACTGTGGAATAAATGGGAAAGAGCAGTGTCCTCTGGGGTGCTCACTGTGTAACTCTTGTACTGCCTAGGTGCAGGTCTCTGCTCACTACGCTATGGGCTGGCTCTCATTATGCACTTCTCCAACTTCACCATGATAACGCAACGTGTGAGTCTGAGCATTGCCATCATCGCCATGGTGAACAGCACACAGCATCAGGAGCCAGCTAGCATGTCCTCTGAGGGGCCTTTGACAGACCCCCTCGGTAACTGGAGCAGAAACATCAAGGACTTTAGTACTCGGGTGAGTGTGGTGAGGAGCAGGCTCTATGCCGAGAGAAAACGTCACTGATAGGGAGGCAGAACAGGATAGGGAGGCTGCAGTCTTCACTCTGCTGAGCATAGAATTCAACTCTAAATGGAAAGGAACTGAGATGATTTTTGAGGCATTGCTTGAGTGTGCAATAGTAATTATCGTTCATTGAAGTAATATTATAGACAAATTGTAAGCAAATGTTAGCAATTTAAAAATAGGACAAATAAACGACTTGGATATCTTCAGAGAAAAACTAGCTCTTCAAATTCTATATGATGAATAGAAATGCTTATGATTCTAGTCCTGTGGAGACTCGGTCTCTACTCTTCCCCAGTCAGCAGCTCCTGCACTGAGGCTGAATAAGGCAGTTTGCCGTTGATTTAAATTCCATTCCTGCTTTGTGTCCAGCTTAGATATGTGTGGTTCTTTTCACAGGCTGCCATATTTTTACCAATTCCCTCATTAACCAATGAGTTAAATAATACCTTTACCACATGCTCATCACATTTGTTTCAGAATCATAAAGACACCCTATTTTGGCAGTCGTCCTTTATCCTCTATTTACTACACACTCCTAATGTCATCCTATAATTCATGGTTTATGACTGTGTTATAGTTCACCTTCTCATCACACTCCTGTGCTCGGGAACTCAGGGCACCGTCCAGTTAACTGACGTGTGTCAGGACCCGCTGTGCTCTGCCAGAGCCTGGTCTTCCTCCTCAGCACATTCCCATCCGTAAATGGCCCCAAAATGACTCTGCTCTCAGCCAGCCACTGTCACTGGCAGTGCGGGAGCAGTTCATATCCCACATGTTGCAAGCCTAGTTTCCTTTTTATCCAGTAGGAATGCGTTTTTCTTGTTCTCTTTACACAAATCGCAGGCATTCTACAAAAGATAGCTTGAAATTATTCTTTCTCTTGTGCCCTCCCAAACTGTCTTCCCATCCTCAAATTTTCTGTTCTGTTTATGTCCACCCTCACATGTTTATTCTAATATGAATCATATACTCTGAGTTATAATAATCTTCATTTTCTTTGCTTATTTTTTGAGACAGGGCCCCCTCTATGTACCCCTGGTTGTCCTAGTACTGGTTATATAGACCAGGCTGACCTCTAACTCATAGAAATCTGCCTCCTCTGCCTCCCTAGTGCTGAGATTAAAGGCGTGTTCCACCAACACCTGGCTGATAAGAGTTATCTTATGTGAATAAAGTATTTCTTGTTTTATATTCTTTGGTGATCTAATTTATAATGATTCCAGATCTAGATATCTAGAGACTATCAAAATTATGTATTGAGTTATGCCAGAAGAATTTACTCATTCACAATGTATATCTTAGTAACTTGGCTCTTCTAGGAAGACCATACATAACAAGTAAATGTGATTTTGTTTTTCAATCGGGTTAATTTTGATAAGAAATCAGCAAAGTCATGTTCACTGTATTCAATGAGCACCACCACTCAGGTTTTAAAAGAAGTTCTTTAGCAAATAAGCCATCCTGCTGTGGTTAGATATGGTTTTCATCCTCTCATCTAAGAGATTGTTCATCTTTTTCTTAAAGGTTTATCTTTATATTCTGTGTGTGGGCATTTGTCAGTGTGTATGTGTGTCCTCCACATATGTGCCTGGTGTCCACAGAAGCCAAAAGAACGTCAGATCCACTGGAGCTGATGTTACAGTTGTGAGCCACCACATGGGTTCTGGGGACTGAATCAGTGTCCTCTGTAAGAGCACTTACTCTTGACAGCTAAGAATCTGTCCAGCCCCACAATTAGATATCTTTATCTCTTTTCTTTATTTCTTATGTTTAAAATGTTTTAAGGGAAACAAATTAGGGATAGAGGTGGTTATTTGTAAAACAAACAAATAAAAATAATGTTAGGTAAAAATTTGAGAGAAAAAAAAAACCTACACCAAAATAAATATTTTTATAATGGAATCTCTTGAATACCGAACAACTGTGAGTATAATGTAGATTTTCAAGTCAGGACTCAGCAAGGAGGATTCACCTACTCACTCTTTTTCTTCCTTTCCAGGCCGCTGTTTATCAGTGGAGCACAGAGACGCAGGGCATCATCTTTAGCTCCATCAGTTATGGAATCATACTGACTCTGATTCCAAGTGGCTATTTAGCGGGAATATTTGGAGCAAAGCAGATTCTTGGTGCTGGTTTGCTCATCTCATCCCTGCTCACGCTGGTAACTCCACTGGCTGCTGACTTTGGGGTGATTTTGGTCATCGCCATTCGCACAGTCCAGGGGATGGCCCAGGTAGCCAGACACTTTCTCAGACTGAGGGGGATAGAGATTCCCAGTATCTGCAAAAAGGACAAAGATCTTAATGACTTTTGTTGCAGGGAATGGCGTGGACCGGTCAGTTCACAATTTGGGCAAAGTGGGCCCCTCCGCTCGAACGGAGCAAGCTCACCAGCATTGCTGGCTCAGGTGAGGACGCGAAACAAACTAAGGTGTTCAGATTTGGTCCCGTTGGGATTGAGGAGTCGTTGAAGAATCATGGAGATGCATCACTACTATTTATTAAGACCAGTGACTGCATTAAAATGTCATTGGGATGACTGCAGAGCAGCTTGTAGACCTGAGAACACATATGTGAAGAACAGAACTAAGCTCCTATCAACATCTCACTCCTGTGTCCAGCACAGGTCACAGCATGCTGTCTGTCCCCACACAGAGACCCTCCTGTTTGCTTCTCCATCAGCACTGTCCTCACGACTTCCTCTACTGCGAAATTCTTCTCTGGCTGATTTCTTCTCCTTCCATCACCGATAGCTTAGCTTTGTACTGCTGAGGCAATTGTATCTGTTCCCATTGCACATTATAATTCTATTATCACATTCACATTCTACATCACTTTTCAAATTGAAGACATGTAACTGTATCATGATATCAATTTAGTGGCAGCAAAATCTGGGATTTAAAACATGCAAATGAACAGAGAGGATAAGAGAGGGTAGGAGAGAATGGAATGGAATAGAATGGAATACACTGGATTGCTTTCAGATTGGACAGGTGACTATGAGCTCATGAAACCTTTCTGGGGTTTGTATATGTGTTTGTATGTACAAGTGTTTATGTATACTAGGTATGTGTAGTATTTTTATATAAAATGCATTTCCTATTGTGAAAAGCATAGTCTGTAAATACATAGCTGTAATTGCTGTTCGGTTTTGTTGGTTTGGTTGTTGTTTATTTGAGACACGGTTTTAGTAGACAGCCACAGCTGGCCTGGTACTCTCGATGTGGTCCAGAGTGGCCTCAAATTTGTGTCACTCCTTTTTTTTTCCTGAGAGTCCTGATTGCTGGGGTGGCAGGTATGTGCCACCAGGCCGGGCTGTTGCTGTGGTGAGCGTAGACCCCAAGGTCCAATTGTAATCTAGCTTAATACATTTGTGAGAGTGAATTTTGCTCATTGTTTTCTCACCAATTCAGGCCAAAATCTCCTTGAAGGCAGGGACTGTGCCTCTTTAATTTTAGTAAGTTGTACTTGCAGAGAGATTCTATGATGAACTGAGCAGTTAGAGTTGGTGGCATTGCTGTTAAGGAGCCACTGAAGTAAACTATTGCTCATTACATTGCTCATCATTTCATGTGATGTTGGGAGAGTCTAGTGAACAGGGACGAACCCTCTCATTACCCAGCAATTTCAAATCAGCTGCCTCACTCTAGGGACAATGTCCACAATCTACCATTGCTATTTCCATGAGTGTTTTTTCTCTGTCTTCTTTTTAGGGGCAGCATTTGGGTCCTTCATCATCCTCTGTGTGGGGGGATTAATCTCACAGTCATTGGGCTGGCCTTTCATCTTCTATATCTTTGGTGAGTCACTGTCTCTTAAATCCTAAACTTAAATTTAAATCATATTTCCATTTTTTCAGTCATTGATTTTAAGACATACATCACTTGCAATCTCCCCATGCCCTTTGTTAAATGGAAAATGATGAAGAATGTTGAAGATTGGTAGCTTTCTTAATATATAGTTCATGTATCTTGGTCTCATACCTTCCCAGTGGTTTGGACAATCCACATGCACAGGGCAGACAAGATCACTCTTTACCTCCCCAGCATCTCTACCACCACATATAAAGTCCCTGGCCTTGTGACTCTGTATGGTTAAGACATCAAAGCTGGTTGAGTGCACCTTTAGTGTGTCCACATTGTGTAATAGTTATTACCTTCATCCTCTACCAAGTGAGCCGTGCAAAGCTTAATTCAGATGTTCCTTCCCTTCTGTGGCTTACCCATCAGGTTCAGCCATCCTCCCCTCTCTGGTTCTTATTGGTACTTCCCCTTCAGGTTCTACTGTGTTTCTCATCTCCTCACTGAACTGTGAAACGCTTAAATCAAAGAGTCCATTACATCATGTTTCCTAGACTACTTTGATGATCATAGCATCTGAAATTTAGTTCCCATTAAAATAATGGATTAATCCAATAAGATGGGAGGGATTTAAAGAACACTAGTCCCAAAAATCTTTTAACATAGAATATTTTTGAGATGACAAAGATCCCAATAAGTAGACAACTTTCTTCAGTCTGTTCTTTTGTTTTAGCCCAGTGGTATTGTTAAACATGCTCCCGGCATGAGGTGCATTCTCCCCAATGATGTGAATCCCCATCACTATGTTTCACATATGTTAAGCAGGCATGGAAGAGCTTCTCCTCCTGGGACTCCACAAGGGATCTATAGTTTGAATACAAATTTCAATCTCCTGCAAACATATTAGAAATACTTTTGTGCCACAATGATCGACTTTATGACCAGTAGTTTCATGCACATATAACCACTTTTCCCATCAGTTCTGACCATGCAAACCAAAAGAAGACGATGATATGTGTGCTAAAAAATTACTGTTAAGACCACATATGAGGATAAACACCGGATCCCTAAGCCTCCGCTGTACCGTGATTTATCCGTGCTCACATTATCTCCAGGATTCTGGCATCTAAAAAGGTTCAGTAGAAGAGTTTTGCAGAGTGAAAAAGAAGATACGAAAAATTTAGGTTTTTATGGTGGAATAATCCCAAGTCAATATGTGTGATAGGCTGTGATATTTCAGAAAAAAAAATCCTATTCTTCCAAAATATGAATCTACCTGAAAATTAATGTCATCCCTACTTCCCAGGTAGCATTGGCTGTGTCTGTTGTGTCCTGTGGTTCACAGTGATTTACGATGACCCCATGCATCACCCGTGCATAAGTGTGAGGGAAAAGGAACATATCACATCCTCACTGGCTCAGCAGGTACACTGCACCCTCTCCTTCCACCCATGGGCCAGGCAGAGGTCTGCAGAGCACTGTTTCTAGGGAGACCCATCCTAACGCCGATGCTGATTGATGTTTTTTTCAGTCTAGTTCTCCCAGAAGATCCATCCCCATAAAGGCTATGGTCAGATGCCTGCCACTGTGGGCCATTTTCATGGGTTTTTTCAGTCATTTCTGGCTATGCACCATAATTATAACCTACCTACCGACGTACATCAGTACAGTGCTCCATGTTAACATCAGAGATGTGAGTACACTCCCCTACTACTACTGTGACAATAATGACTGTCGTCCTGTGCTGTCCATTATATTCCAGTGTATAGAATCATTTAACCTTCACAATGATGGTGACGGAGGCAGTGCCATGATTCCTATTCCACAGCAGTGGAATTGGGACACTCAGAGGTGAGATAATTTGCCTTGGTTTATGTGACTGCTGCACGGTGAAGCTGCTGTGCATCAGGGTTCTTAATCACCAGGGTCTTCTGCCACTCGCAACGGTCCAGAAGTTTTGCCCAGAAACTGACATAGCTTTTCTCAGGAGTTGGTTCTCTTCCCTAAGACAGTGCTCTTCCGGTGTGGCCAAGGTGCTAGTTTCCCTCAAATGGCTTGGAATGGTGGCAGTTGGGCTAAGATGGGTCTGTGTGATAAATGCTGGCACTTGCACTGCTCTGTGACATTCTGTGTCCGGTTCCTTCTTTCAGAGCGGGGTCCTGTCCTCCCTGCCGTTCATCGCTGGCGCCAGCTGCACCATTCTAGGAGGACAGATGGCAGATTTCCTTCTGTCCAGGAACCATCTCAGCTTAATCAGAGTCCGAAAACTCTTCTCATCCCTGGGTAAGGACAGGGGTGTGGATTCAGGTAACCACCCCCTTCTTGCGTGGGGCTTGAGAAGCCTCTTGACTGTGTGCTTATTCTCCAGGGCTCCTTCTTCCATCCCTCTGTGCTGTGGCCCTGCCTTTTGTGACTTCCAGTTACATAGCAACCATTGTTTTGCTGATACTCATTCCTGGGACCAGCAATTTGTGTGACTCAGGGTTCATCATCAACACCCTAGATGTTGCCCCCAGGTAAGGGCTAGTCTATTGCCTTCATCAAACCCCCAAAGCACTGGTAGATCTCAGCTGTCAATGTCAATGTTCAAAGCCTGTCTGTTGTTGACATGTACTAAATCAAGGCGGAGCGACAGATAGCTAGAAATGTTGGTTCACAGCCATGGCCATGTGTCTCATTCCTGGCTAGATGAAAGTTTTTCAAGTTTCCTGATAAGAGATTAGACTGTGTGTTTTGGAACAAGGTCACAGATATCTGTTTTGGAAATTTCCAGGATGTTTGTTACATCAGCCACCACACATGAACTACTCACCATGAACCAGACCTATGCTAACATACTCTCATAAATCAATATGTGCCACCATCACAAATACATTAGGTTGATCCCATTTATGACCCTCTAATTCCGGGAGAGGAGACAAGGTGTGTACAAGGGTATACAATACGTGTCTATGATAACACAAGGGCAGAGCCGGCATCTCAAGGCAGGGTGTAGCTTCGGAGCCAATATCCTGTCTGCTATGCAAACTGCCTTCTGCACTGAGCAGTGTGATGAAAAATCTCAGTTCCCACGGAGACTAGTTCTCTGGTTATTCAGCTCTTGATTCGGTGGACAGATAATTTCAAAGTTGGTGAATAGGCATCTCTTTGGATATCTTTAGTAATAAAAACTGCAGTAGACCAAGTGACCTTGCCATTAAAAGTGTGTTTCATGAAAGTTCAAGTGCTGCGGGTGTCATCGATGGTTCCTACATCAAGTCATCTCCTCCACAGATATGCAAGTTTCCTCATGGGCATCTCCAGGGGATTTGGGCTTACTGCAGGAATCATCTCTTCCACTACCACCGGATTCCTCATCAGTCAGGTTGGGCATGTTATTGAACATCTGCAAGTGGCAGGTATTGTTTTAGGCATTGAAAATATACACTGTGCTCTCAAAGATGGTATGGTTGGCCGGGGGACGCAAGCATGGACTTGAACACTCAGGTCATGAAGAACTCTAGATCAGACGCTGGCATGCCATGCTTCCCAGGGAAAGAGAGAAAACTGAACTTTTCGAACGGGATAGGCATTCATGGGATGTTTGGGTGCAAATGACAGTCTTTCTATGACTTCCAGGAGGTAAAAAGAGTGAGTGGTAGCTCAGCCATTAAAGATTAGGCTTACAATCAAATAGACAAGAGAGGTCTTCATTATGATTAGAATGATGGAGACCATGTCAAGAGTTAGTAAATGATGACCACAGAAGGAAGGAAGGGGGAGATCATGAAGAGTCCAATCAGATCAATTATAGACAGTTTTTCACCTCATAAAGGGGAAACCAAGTACCCCAGGGTCAGTTTAAGGAAGAGAACAGCAGAGAGAGTCCAGGGATCATGGAGTGGGAAGTTTGCTCCAAGCCTACAAGTGTAGATTAGTGAGCGAGAGGAAGGCAGGAATGGAAGAATCCAAATAGGAGGAAGAGTATCAACCTGAGAAGCAAATTTTTGTTTTGGTTTTAGTACAGCTAGGTGACCTAGATTCCAGGCTACTTTCTGAGGAAATTTGCAAGAATTCCCTATGGTGACAATGCCAGCAATGAACTGTGATTGGCCTGACAGGAGGGTCTCTCCAACAGGTCAAGTGTAGCTCAGGTCAAAGGTCCTCAGAAGGAGCTGAGCTGATGGAACTCAACAGCCAAAAAACTCAACAAAGCAAGAGGGGAAGATCTTAATGATGGATTTTAGTCACAACTGTAAAGCTTCACTTTCATAACTGTGGAAATCCAGATTTCTAGAAAATCAATATTGTTTCATTTGGTTTTGTTTGAAGAAATAGCTTCCATAAAATAGGACCCAATGTGCTTTTTAGAGTCCCCAACAGTTTTGTGGTCCCTCTTGGCTGACAGGATGCTAAGTGCATTCTACATTTGCCCCCTAAATATTTGTGATTAGCATTGCAATATGCAAAGTGGAGGATTTGTATAACTGGCGGTGAAGGAATTTATAATATTAATAATTATTGTATGTTTCTGTGTCCAGGATTCTGAATCAGGATGGAGGAATGTGTTTTTCCTGTCTGCTGCTGTCAACATGTTTGGTCTGATCTTTTACCTTATGTTTGGACAAGCAGAGATTCAGAACTGGGCCCGAGAAAGGACTCTCACCCGCCTCTGAAGATGGAGGGAGGGATGGAGACCCAAATGAAGTACTGGCCCTCAACTTCTTACCATTGCTTATCACCACTCTTTCTCATAACCATAGACACAGCACTTCTCTCCTCTGGCTAGGTGCTTCCTTTTCCAAAGAGCTTCAAAAACGTATGCCCAGGCTACTTTTCAGAGTGAGTTATTCTGGGGTGGAACCCAGGTGCCACTACATTTTAGATTCCCCAGGATTTTTTTCCAATAGGCAACTATGGTTAATTGGTAGAGGAATTTGAAGTAAATTCTAGTCACCTTTGAATTTTCCTCTTTGGAGAGTACTAGATGAATAAAAATCTATCTGAAATAATCTGATCAATACCTTCATGGGGACTGTTATGGACACAGAGATGATCTTGTAGGAATTGTTTCTATGAGTTATAAAACTCAGCAAAGGACAGAATTTAAACCTATAACCACAGAACTGACTTTGTTCATGGGTGTTTATGTGGTTAAATGCTGTTAAAATAAATATGCTAAGAATAAACAGACTATGTTAAAACTGTCTAAAATAGGATTCATTCTATAAATGGAACAATATTTATGAATCCTAGCTAATTTCTTAGAGGTTATTACCAGAAAACGATGAGAAAAAGATTCAATGAATGAAGTTAAAAAGGAATACAAGAAGAGAGATAACAAAATTGCAATGCTTATCACATGAGAAGAACAGATGGACACCCCAAAACACTGAGAAAGTTTAGTCACGTGGTAAAAATAGAAGGAGGAAACAGAAACACCTTTAAGTTAATAGATAACTTCCACCGAGGAAGAAATTACCAAAGGGAAAGTGAGCTGGAGAGAGGCATGGGAAGAAATTTCACAAGAGCAGTTCATCCTGAGGGTAGAGAGAGTCCATTTGACCTTTATATTCTCCCAAATAATCATCTTCAACTACAGTAGTAGTTGATGTTGTATCTTACTGTGTGAAATGTACTCCATACAGATGCCTCCTGTTTTTCCTCAATTTCCCTAGAAAAGCAGTATTGTTTAAACCATTCAGAATTCCAAAACAACACAGGACCTGAACCTTAGATGAATTCATTAGGGGAAGAGAATCTTCTAATCAGTTCCGGGTCAGAACCAAGAGGTACCCTTAAGCAGATGTTGTAAGGATAACAGCTGGTGTCAGGTCCTGAGGGCAATGCTGAGATGATGACACATTGGTTCTGCTTTCTGAATCTTTATCCTACACAGAGAAAGAGGGTGTAGAAAACTAGAAGAAGCATGGAAAGAGAGGAAATCGAATGAACTGGCACTTACATATGAGGGGAGAGAGAGCTCAGGAAGGAACAAATGAATGAACAAATGAAGGAAGGAAGACAGGGAAAGGAGAGAGGAAGGGAGGAGAGAGAGTTGAGAGAGAGAGAGTCCAATAGAAAAATGGACACATGACAGGGATTCAAAGAAGAGAAATTCTGTCCTAAGTATCCTACTAAAAACTAAAAAAGAAAAAAAAATCTTCCTATTCCAGCTTCCATCCTACAACACAGTCCGTCTATGACTATATTTTCTATTTCTTCTTCCTCAGAAAAGCCCTTCCCTCCTCCGAATCCTGAACTCAATATCTAACTTCTGTGGTTATGTGTGTGTGTGTGTGTGTGTGTGTGTGTGTTGTTTTATATGTGTGTGTGTGTTATACATATATATGTAGTCTGAGAATTAAATGGAGAAGGGGGAGGGAGAGGTGGGTAAGAAAGAAGACATGGGGAGGAACAACTAAACTAAGGGCTATTTGAGGGATCATATGTCATAGAAACCTTCTGCTATAGTAGAAGCTCCTTAAAATATGTGCACATGTGGATGAAAGAAATCTCAATGGAATGACCAAGTAAGAGGGCAGACCAAGCTCTAACCAGACATCTTTCACCACCAAAGAGACTCTCCAGTGCCAGGAATAGCACTCTACCTGAGTTGTTGGCAGAGAGGCCCCATGGGAAACACCCAGGCTATTGCCATGGCTATTGGTTGCTTTCCACAAATTGAAGGTTAGGCCCTATTTCTCAAGACAACATCCGCATGGTTCACTGAACACAAAAAGGTCACACTGGTGCCTAACTAGAGCCTCCATCCTTACTGACTGGTTCGTGGTACAAGAAGGCACCCTTGATGCTACCCGAGGAGAAAGGTGAATATCAACCCAGCTAAAAGCCTTTGATCCACAATAGTGATCTGCCTGAATGATGTGCTGGCGAACAGTGGCCCAAAAGTTGTGGGAGTGACCAGCTATCTGACTGGTCCACTCTGCAAGATGGAACCCATGCCTGAGAGTGCTCAGGTGGCTGAGAACCTGAGCCTAGGAGAAAGCCAAACACTGTTGTTTTGCAAAAGGAACTTGGCAATAAAATGACTCCTAATGACATTCTGCTATACTCATAGATCAGTCTTGCTCAGCCCTCACCAGAGAAGCTTCCTCCTGCAGTAGATGGGAACCAATACAGAGACCCACAACAGGACAATGTGCGGAGAGTGAGAGACCTTGGAACACTCAGTCTAAATGGGATATCTCAATCAAGTCCCCCTCTCAGGGCTCAGGGAACTTGAAAAGGAGGTAGAAAGATTGTAAGAGCCAGTGTGGGTGGGAGATACCAAGGAGATAAGGCCTTCTAGACAGAACAGGGTTGATGCATACATGAACTCACAGAGATTGTGGAAGCATACTCAGGGCCTGAACACACACACTGTACCCTTCTAAGTCAGATGGGGTACAAGGGCCATGAAGGGAAGCGGACACAGCCTCCATCCCTAACCCAGAAGCTCTCTCCAGTAGACAGCCCTTCACAAAGGAAAAATTTGTTTTCTCTAATGAGATCTCACTGGGTATACAAACCACACTGATGGTCAGGGCCTCATGCCCAGCAGTAGGTGGCCAACCCAATGGTATTCTTGAAGGTTCTTTTTCTCACAATGGTTTGTCTGTGCTTTTTGATTTTAAACGTTACAGGTCTTTTTGCTTGTACATTATGGCTTCCATTTTTATAGGAGTTCAGTGTGTGTGGATGTGGTCTCTGCATCCCTGTGTGTTTTATAGGAGTTCAGTGT